TCAACGACATCCTATACTCCTTTAGCAGTGACCATTTCGTTCAAAAAGCAACTCGATTTGGGCAATTTTCTTCCATATTCTCAAATTCTTCATATTTGTATATTAAATACAAAAAAATACAAATAAATGAACAAATTATAAATATTATTTGAAACCATTGTATGAACAAGGCCATAAAGGACATTGATCGGAGTTCGGCTAGCCTCCAGCGTTACCACCCCTATTACAAACCAGGAGCTGCCGCAATAAAAGCTTTCATGTATAAACAGACTATTACATTGTAWATTGAAACCGACTGAAGTAAAGTAAGTAAGATATCTTAATACCACTAAAAAAATAATGTACTTATTAACTAAATAAAAGATGGTTTATTCAAATATCTGAAAACAATTCAAATTTGGTATAAATTCTTTCATTTTTTGTGAATTTATACTAACACTATAACTATGGAATGCAGTGTAAATAGTATGTCATCTAKTACAATTCTGTTTAGAACTGCATTATCCACCTAAGCCACTGACAGTTGTTGACGCTCTTTCAATTCTTTCTTTAACGTCAACTTGCGAATTCTGTTTGCGTCGCACTGCTAGATTAATAATTCTTCAAATTATATTGTTAAAAAACATCAAGTGATAGAAAATGTCGCATATGGTGAAAATGGAAAATGGTCAAAGTCAAACTATTCAAGAGATGTTAGGGTGCATTGAACGGTAAGCCCAATTATTACATTCATGCAGGTGGATATCAAAACATAACCTTAAACGCTGATTCTGCTCTTCAATATCATTACAGGTACAACCCGGATCATCTTAAAACGCTGGAAGCTTATGTCGAAGATCAAGCTAAAAATAATACCTACGATTTGGAGGCAAATCTGGCAGTGCTCAAACTTTATCAGTTCAACCCACATATGCTTAACTTCGACATCACATATACAATACTGCTGAAGTGTTTGACAAACCTGCCGCATACAGATTTTGTTATGGCAAAATGTTTATTATTGCCACAACAAATGAAGGACGGCACYGTGCAGACCATAATTGATTTGGCCGATATATTAGAGCGCACAGATTTTACATTGTTTTGGCAGCGTGCTGAAGTAAACCGATCCATGTTTCGTCATATTTCTGGTTTCCATGATTCCATACGTAAGTTCGTATGTCACGTTGTTGGAATAACTTTCCAAACTATCAGGAAGGATTTGCTAAAGGAACTCTTAGGAGGAATTGAAGGTGATGACTGCTGCTGCTTTTTTATAACGTCTATAAAAGAAATATAATTTATATTGCAGATTCAACACTTGATCAGTGGATTAAAAAATATGGTTGGAAACATCAAGGAAATTTAATTGTCATCGCTGTTCAAGATGATAAAATTAAGACGAAAAACATAACTGAAAAGATTGAGTTTGATAACTTGGGTGGTYTAATGGCTCAATGCTTGTAATTACATAAATTTAATTTTCTTTCTATAAATTTATGTATATGTACTTCATGAGAATATAAAGTAAAATTTGTAAGAAAGTGATTTCATGGAGTATTTCTTTTGTTACGAATCGCACACCCATTGAAAGCAAAATCGGTTCTTAAATCCATAATTCTCTTTTAGTTGTGTTGGAAGTGTCATAGAAGTAATCATTTAAATTCTATATGAAATTATAATAAAAATACACGAATATTTTCAGTTTATTTTATATATATTAAACGAAAAGCTAAATTAATTACAAATATTAGAACATGCCGTGTAAAATTAGATTATATTTATATACTACGGCTTATAAACCCGTTGCATCTAAATTTARTATACATACTTATTAAATAAACTATAATATACACTTATCTAGCTTTCCACACATACATTATGTTTAACTTTAATGTATAGAAAAAAAAACTCCCTGATTCATCCAAACACAAATGCATGGTTAGCAACCAAACGTGAGCAGCGAAGTCATTTAATGCAAAATTCTTTTTGCAATTGAAATAAATAACTTCAGCAAAAACAATAAACGAACTGTCATGTTAAGATTGTTTCTTGAACTTTTTAAGAATAGGAAATATCTTGTCGAACGCTTCATAGATTTCCTGGCGTACTTTTGCACCAGTCAGCACCACTTTACCGGACACAAAAATTAGCAGCACTATGCGAGGTCGAACCATTCGATAAATTAGTCCAGGGAATAGCTCAGGTTCATAAGAACTGAAATTGCAATGAGTAAGTACTAGACCTTCCAAGCGAATAGGAAACTTCACATCACAGGAACCGACCATGTTTTGGATTTTGAAATCACGAAATTTGGCCTGCAGAAGTAAAAGTATTTTTTTTTAATTTCCATTTACACATGCATACCATTATCCTCATTATATTACCTGAAATCCCAATTTTTGAATGATACGTGCGTATTTTCTTGCCGCCAATCTAGAGTCATCCTCACTCTTTGCTCCGGTACATACCATTTTACCCGAGGAGAAAATTAATGCTGTAGTACGAGGCTCTCGAATTCGCATAATCACGGCYGCAAAACGCTTGGGATTGTACTCTGCATTACGTGCGTGAAGAGCTATTTTTTTCAAATCCAATTTACAACACAAATTTACTGTTGAAACTATGTTCCTAAAATTTGTAGAAAATTAATAACATATAAATAGATAAATATTTATCATTASGATTATGTATACTTACTGTAGTTGTGGAACAATTCCGGGGTCAGCGGAACCGGGTGTCATTGGTGTCATAGGAGTGGCAGGACCCATTGTCTGATGTATATTGCTTAGATTTTCGGCGCGTTCACTCATCGGTACCATCGGTGACATCAAACTTTGCTGAAGAACATAATAATAGAATTATCGCCCCGATATCTACATAACATATTACTTACTGGTGTTTGTGGTTGCATTAGACTTTGTGGCGCTCCTCCGTTTGTCATTAAGGAACTGGAACTCTGAAACGATTGCATTTGTTTATGCGCCGTCGGCATAGTGGGATGCGAATTGCCAATCATATTAGCATTATTTGTTGTTGCTGGTGAGTTTCCACTGTTCATTAACGACGGCATTCCCATGTGATTTAAGTCATGATTATCCGCGGCAGGGTGATAAACAGGATTAGGCACAATCTGTTGATCTGCATCCATTTGATGAAGAGGTGTTGCGGAAATGCTGGGAATGGAAAACCCAGGACTCAACATTTGATCCATATTTTATTTACTATATTCTACTCAAAGTTATTTAAATACAAATTTATTCACAGTCACAGAACAACTTTACAAAAGTAGGATCCAAACACTTAAATTCCGCTATAATAAAGTAGCGAAGTGTCAATAATTCTTCTAGCATTTTCAGCAATAGGGTGATTCAAATTCAATGAAAAATATTTTTTATATAATAAGCATTCACAACCGAAAGTTGTAATACTATGTTCTGACATTTAAGTCACGGCAGGCTACACAATTTGTATATATTTTTAATTTTTTATATAATTAAATATTTTCATGTCAATTCCATTTATTTATTCTGATAGTTTGACGTAAAACCAAAAATCGTCAATTTAGCAYCACCGTAAGCTCGTGAGGAACGGATCAATACTACTGGCAAGTAATTGTGATCTGCTTAACTCTACAGAAGAAGACGCTAAAATGAAAATACAATAAAAAAAATATAAACGTCAATTGAATTTTTACATTGGTTGTGAGCGAAAAACGAAAATAATTGGATAAGTTATTTATAAATCAGTTGTAAAGTGATATATTTAAACAGCAACAAAGAAAGAAAACATGGGGTCCGAAGACACGGAGATAAGTTCTGGAGATAAAATCCAAAAAGGTTTTCAAATAAATTATATGATTCTTCGTGACGCGGATTCTGGTAAGGTAATATGGCAAGAAAACAAGGACTTCTCTTCACCAGATGTAGAACATGAAGCGCGTGTACCTATAAAAATATTAGATTTAAGAGCCGTGTCTCGTGAAATCAATTTCAGCACTATTGAACCAATGGAAAATTTTCGTCTGGATCAAAAGGTGCTATTTAAAGGACGCATAATGGAAGAATGGTTTTTCGAAATGGGTTGGGTAGGTGCAAACACTACAAATACTTGGCAATCGACAATCGAAGCTGCACCTGAGTCCCAGATGATGCCAGCAAAAGTCTTAAATGGTAATGTCACAATTCAAACAAGTTTCTATGACAACGACACACTTATCACCAAATCAATTGTGCGCCTATACTACATTTAAACAAACAAACAACAATTCACACTCAATCTGCCCACAACTTTGCATTCTTTTCGTATTTCCATAAGACGGGATTTCGAAATAAATACTTGCGGTGACGCATTTAGGCAACTTTGGGACAAGGCTGTTTAACTTTAGTACATATATCGATTAATTAATTTTGAAATTATTCCAAGAAATTTTGGAAATTGTTGTAAATTGTATCAAGCTGATCTATTTAAGAGCCTGCGCATTTGTGTATTGCAATTGTTATTAATTTATAAGTAGATATAAAAAAAAGTGAGGTGTAATAAAAACGTACATTTAATATGTAACTGAAATACTAAACAAAGTGAGTCTTTAATATGTACAATACTTCATATTATATCCATTTCATTCATACGACTTTAATCAAATTGGGTATGCAAAACTAAGTTCTCTAGCTTCAAGTTTATTAACAAATTGAATTTTTGATATGTACGTAGGCTATGCATTCTACAAATTACCTCTCCAACTATTTATTGCCTATTATTATTTAATTTATCTTTAACTTTGTAAATAACAAATTAATAAAAATAAAAATAAGAAAATCGCTTATAAATAAAAAACACGTTTTTTTACTTATGCAATATTTAATCATGTAGGCGGGACCAATTCTTCCTACTTCAGATTGTTTAAAATGTCATTAAGAGGAAAAATATTAAGCTGCTTACGAGGTAAAAGATGCCGATTTACTATGACGAGATATGGCTTTCTTTCATAAGGTTCATTGTGAACATTTTAAAGAGTAAGGTGCAAGAAGAAGAGTAGTGTTAATAAATTGTAAATATAAATAATACYCGAAATGATTATTTATGGAGTGTATATAGTAAGTAAATCCGGTGGTCTAATCTATAATTTGGATAGCAATGTGCCGAGAATAGAACAAGAACGTTCGTTTACGTATCCAATTGATTTAATGCTGGATTATGATCCGAAAAAAATATCAGTAGTATTTAATAGGAAGGATGGAATCAATGGTTTGTGCAATATTATGTTTATATTAATTAAATGTATTATTTAATATTTTGTTCATAGTTGGACATGTTTTAACAGCTGTAAACGGTATGGCCGTGAACGGCAATACGCTTGAAGATGGACGTGACGTGGAAACTATGCTGGAAAACTCCGAAAATTATCCAGTGAATTTAAAGTTTTGTAGACCTAAATTGACAACCAATGAAAAGATTGTGCAAGCTAGTACCTTTTACCCACTATACGCATTTGCAAGTCAACTCAGTCCAGAGCCCAAAAGTTCCGGCATCGAAGTATTGGAGGCCGACACATTTACATTGCACTGCTTTCAAACATTAACCGGAGTTAAATTTATTATTATTTCGGAAACAGGCCTTAGTGGTATGGATATGTTACTCCGCAAAATATACGAACTTTATTCAGACTATGTTTTGAAAAATCCATTTTATGCTCTTGAAATGCCCATTCGATGYGAATTGTTTGAAAACAAACTTAAAGTATTACTCGAGATGGTAGAAAAAACTGGCATAAATAATCTAGATAAATAGGTGCTTCTTTCTATAAGTAACAAAAGTATACCGATATGAAAAAATGCAAATTTTTGTGCGGGGTGCGTGATTTATTTTATTATTGCAAAGCTTATCAAATTAAAAAATGCTAGTATGATTTTTTGTTTCTTATTAATATATTGCACAGTCAATAAAATAATCTTAGAAAATAAAACTGTATAAATAAATGAACACACCTACAACATATATATACGTRTATCAATTATGAGTATTAACTTCTCCTAAGCCGTCTTGTCAAGACTGACCCAAACTTTCTTTAATGAGTTGTAAACCATTCAAAAATAACAATAGGTATCTTCAACTTATCTTAATAACATAATAATAATGATAAAAAGATAATCGATTAAAACATATGTGCTTCTATATGTTAGTTAAACATGATGTTTTGTTTATAACTGTAGTGTCTACTTATTGACCAATCCACGAGCTTTGGGATAAGCTGATGCTGGTTTCTTAAGACCCATACGCCCAGTCGGTGGGCGTCTATTTGAGTCAATAGCAGAACCAGGGGATGCTATRCCACGACCTGGTTTAATATTACGTGCTCCGGCAACTGGCACTGACGCTACGACATTGGGAGTTATARTACTGTTATTAACTGAAGCTAAAGCTGCTGAAGCATTGGCACTAGCATTAATTATATTCTCAAGTCGRCTACGTATGGAATTAGTATGCGAATCAACAATGTCGATGTCGTCGCCGGTTTGCATAGCTTGAGCTAATACTGCTTGCAACGAAGCTGATACTTTTGGAGAACGATATTCCTGTGTGGTGCGACAAGGCATTTCTAGTTCATAAGATACGATATTTTCATTTTTAAAACGTAAAGCACCGGATGCATTGGTTTTAGCTTCCATTAATGCATATTCTGAGATGGGACGACGGTGTTGAGGATAAGAAACCGGACGTTTTGTTAAGCTATTTTGATCCCCTACCATTGGGGTGGTTGAGAATTTCCATTCCTCTTGCTCCTCATCGTATTTTGCTTGGGTATAGAGGCGTTGCTTTACTTCTACTGGTACAAAATTATCTATGATTAATAACTGCCGTTTCAATTCTTTCACAAGTTCATTTTGGGCCATTTCCAATTCTCGTAAATCATGATTATGGTCATATTTACAATCATTAAGCTCCTGTTGTAGAGCMAGGTATTTAGCGTAACACTTGGAAAGTTTTCTTTTCTTCAATTCTACCTCTTGCTCCAAGGATGTAACCGTCTCTCGAATTTCCAATGTAGTCTCCTCTTGCAATTCCAGTTGCTGTTGAATTTCGATTTCACGTTTTTTTCTTTCTGCGATTTCAACAAGCTTCTTCTCAAGTTCTAGTTGTCGTTCACTATATGTATCCAACAAATTTTTTCCACCACGCACTAACTGTGATTCGAGTTCTGCCAATTTAGTAGCCAGTTTAGYTGTCTCAACACGCTCGCGTTCTAATTCTTCATTTGACTTTGCTACTTCCGCTTCATTCTCTTTGTCTGATTCGGGCTCTTCATCACTTTCCTCTAGTTCCAATTGTACAACTTCGTTGCTTATCTTTTCTTTCTTTGGTTTACGTTGTCGTTTCTTGATTATCTTTTCAGTGCGCTGTTGCTTCGGTGCAATCAAGCGCTTCAACCTTTCGATTTCCTCCTGATATTCTTTAAGCTTAGCATCTTGTGGATCTTCATTTTTCACTGGTTTGTTTTGAATAGTTTTAGCACGGGATGCATAGCGTAGAGTAGTTAATGTTTCGTTATAATTATATGCCGATGGACCAATATTGGCAATCATAATTGTTTTCGAATTGCCTCCCAAAGAGTCCTGTAACAAGCGTGTGAGCTTCGAATCGCGATAGGGTACATGCGGTGAATTCTCTGCCAGCGCTGATATTACATTCCCAAGAGAAGATAGCGCAAGATTTATTTTGCTTGCCTCCTTTAATCGTTCTGCAGAAGCACCTGTTTTAGACTGACGTTCACTTCCTGCTAAATCAATCAAATTCAGTTTTCCTACTTTTATTGTATTTGTCTCAATATCACACATCTCTATTCTTATCATGAATATAGCATGCGATCGTGAACTGTGCTCATTCATATTTGTAAAGCCCACAGTGCGATTCTTATTACCAATATGCATTACATTCAGCATATCATCAACACTTTTGCAATTTATGGCATGCAAATTTGGTACATAAACACCAGAACCACGCTCTCGCACTTCTAAATGTTTAGAATTCGGCTTTAATAAATCGCGCAACTCTTCCATGTATATTTCCAAATAGCTAACATCGACGAGAAATTGAAAGTTTTCCGTCCGATTAATGTGTAGCCAAATTTGTTCAAATGTTCTAGGAATGATTCCCTTAAGATCTTCATTACCTCTAACACCTTCCATAGTAAATGTTTTTCCTGTTCCAGTTTGTCCGTACGCAAATATACAGCCGTTAAAACCATCTAGAACAGAACTTACAAGAGGAAAGACGACCTCGTTATATAAGTTGATTTGTGTCGCACATGCATCATACGCTGCATCGTAAGTGAACATTTTGGTTTGCTCTTTATTTGCTTCGGTCAAGTTTGTTATTTCTACGACCCCTCGATTAGGATACACTGCCACCACTTCCTCCGAACCCTCCGATTGTTCTTTGTTGCTTATGGGGCGACATCGAACCACTACTTGCACACACTCATTTGGAGYTTGGCTATTGGCAGTGCCAGGACGTCTTGATCGGGCACTCATTCTATGTCACTTTCAAAACGATTTCGAGAATGAGTCAAAAGTAGTCAAAGTTAATGTTACCTAGAGAACGAAAAAACATATTTAAGTCATTCCATATCGCGACTTTTACTCCATATCTTCAAATATAAAGTTTGTTGTAAATTATTATAAAATAATATAAATATTTGTTTTTAATGTTAAAATATATTTTTACCAAACAATTTAATGTCGTTTGTTGTTTTTCTCACAATTATACTTCAGTTAAAATAAATCGATTAATGTTGACGTAATAGTAAAGAAACAAACACAGGGTGACCGATAAAATTTAATGATTTTTACGCAATTTTGTTTCCTTAAGGAAAATTTTTATGTAAAATTAAGAACAGGAATTAGTTTTTCCAAATTATATTCTTAGTTTTTTTCCAATTATTAAATATAGTTRTGAACCAAAGATCAATCTAGCATACTATAAAAGAAATGTTAAATCTATTTAAACATGAACGTTTATAGACCGTCCTGGTAATATAAACCTTAACCGTTTTATAGGAGCAGAGGATCAGATTAAATAGATCCTTGTGAGTCGTAAGCCTTGGCGAGACATCATATGTCGTCTTTAAAACCACAAATGTTATTCGTCGTTATTTTATTATTTATAAAATAAATAAATGTTCTTTTATTCAAAACACTCTGTGGCAATTCATTACCACTGAAAAGTTTTATTATTTATTTTATTTTTTTTTTATTTTTTTGAAAAATATAGTTTTGAATGAAATATGAAATCCGCAAGAGAAATTTTCCAGTTGCTTTCCAGAGCGCAAAGAAAATTGAAACTTAAGTCTCCTAAGTTCCCAATTGTGAGTTTAATGTGAAGTGAAACAACCAACTCAAATGTAYCTCAAAAGTGATTGTTGTGTAAATAAAAACAATTGTGATTCTTGAATCAAATAAGTTGGTTAAAAATGTTTAATATTATGTTATACATTTCACAATTGCAATAATTTATACATTAGGAAATTTATACATTAGGAAATTATTTATACGTATCTCAAAGGAGCAGCACAAGACATCCGAGAATCAAGATTTCAATTAAATGATAAACTGGATTTGTCGATGTAGCAAGAAGAAGGGTGAGAAGAAACAAATTGGCGGCGCCAATTGTTTCGTTGGAGCACTGAAGCAAAGCGGTAGRGGGTGTATAAAGATCGAGCGTTGCTCGCGCTGTGCGGTTCGTTGCTCGGTTTTCGCCTTGGCAGAGCGTCCAATGTACTGCGGATTTTAACGTTCAGTGGTTGTTTGGTTTTGCCCCGGTTGTTTGACGCACGCTGCGCGGCAAGAAAATTGTTGTGGCAGTAGTGAGTTTGTTTTATTTTTACTTTAATATTTTTATTTCGCCACTCTTTTATATATATTTTTCTTTGAATTTTCGTTCGCATATCGCCTRAAGAAAAACAAGTTAGCACGCAATGGCATGGCTATATGTTGGCAGTGCTTGATTCAGTGGGCACAGGTAAAATCTTCACGGAAAAAATAATATCAAAAGCATTAATAAAACAACAAAAAGCAGAGCTAACTACGTGAGTGGTTTCGGTTTGTAGACGGTGAACTTTTATTTTTTTTATTGCTTGGGTTCGTGCTGCTTGGGTGATTCAGCCTCGAGATTAAGACAAGCATAGTCTGCAGTAGCGAAAAGAAACTACGTTCAACATCTCAGCAGCAGGCAAAAAATTTGCCTTCGTGCAACAAAAAAGACGAGTTCGTAGACGGTATCATCAATTGTGGCAAAGGCAAAGCTAGAAAATCGCACGGTTAAATGAAAAATACATATTTATATTGAATATGCCTCTCGCTGTGGTAAATATAATTTCTTCTTAACTGAAAACATGTATGTACATATATAAATATTCCAAAAATAAAATAAATATCAAAAAAAAATTGTATAAACATAATAAGTAATAATATTTTTATTAGATTATTTTTTATTAATATTTATAGGATATTATTTTAAAAATTTAATAATTTATTATAATTTTATTTGTTTTATTTAGTACGTGCAAATATATAAATAAGTAATGGAAATCCTCATGAAACTAAAATGTTCACCATCTGTACCGAACCACGGCAACAGCACCACACACTCTACTCTCAAAGTCGTTGACCATCATCATCAACTAACTCAGCAGCACGCAACATTACCAGCACCCGTAACAACAACCCCACCAACACTCATTCGCTTGCCATCACAAACAAACGTAACTTATGGGTCCCCACCATCATTGCCGACAATCGCTATTCAAACCCTACCCAGTGTACCATCCAAAAGACCATGTTTGAATTATTCAAAGTCTTTGGAGTGCTGCAACATTACCGCTACCCAACAGGGAATTGAAATATTTAGCTTACCATGGGATCAGCAAGGTCGCCGGAACGTTACATACGAAGTTTCAATGCAAAAACCTCCATCTTGTTGCTCAGATATCAACGCCAGCAATTTGTACGAAACACCTGCTTGTTGTAGTACGTACGGCACAGTTTCGACTGCATCTCATTCAACTGGCACGCCGCAACTAGCTCAACTCCCGCCACTACAGCAGGCACCTACAATGCATCCTCCTCCATTGTCGTTCCAAATTGCTTCTTCTGAAGATTTGTCCGAAAATGATTCAATGGCAGATTTAGATACACATTACGAATATAAGGAACCTGAAGAAAACTTTATCTCGATAGAAGATACTAAAATAAAAGGTTTTTTGGTAAAAATTGGCCGCGAATGTGCTTTGCAGAAAAGGAGACAAAAACCTAGAGATCGTGTAATTGAATATGTTCATAAATCACCAGAGAATCAAGTGGATTTTGAAATTATTGATTTAGATGATGAGGATGACCGGGAAGAGCTTCGACAAATAATGCATCAGGTGGAAAAARACACTCTTAAAAAAGATGTACAACGTGATGTTCAGCATATCGCTATGTCGGATTTAAATATGTCTACCAAGAGTCGAGATAAATGCAGAGCCAGACTCAAATCTCCATGTATTAGCCTTATTCCAAAGAGTCCGCCCCTTACATCAAAATCTGCGAAGGTGATTCCTCAGCAGAAAATCGAACTCTCTAAGGAACGTATAATTGCACATATAGAACTCTCTGATACCAGTGACTCTGAACCAGAACAATGCGAAAATATAACTGAGAATATTCGGAGTACAGAAAGTGCAGTGGCTGTGGTTGGATTCAATAGCGATGATGATGAGGATGAGCTATCGTTCGCAGCTGCAGCTGTTACTTGTGAACTGGAATGTGACGATGATGACATTGATAACATTGAGAAAAATTCCGACATTGCAAAGACAAGTACAAATATTTCAAGCAACGAAGTTGTTGTCCTGCATTCAGACGACGAAAATWTTGAGTCCATCGATAAACCAGAAAAAGGACAAGAATTGAATTGGGAAGATATAGATAGACGTGAAAAGGGTCGACAATTTTTCGAATGTTATTTATGTGGCAAAAAGGTGCAATCAAGTTATAATTTGAGAAGGCACATGATGATACACACAGGTATGAACGAGAAAGTATTGTTTGATTTATACTATAAATAATTAAATTATTTTTTAAATGGGAGTTGTTATTATTATGTTATATATTTTCTATTCTTTCACAAACTTAACAACTTTCAAACTTATTAAATTTAATTTTTACTCTAGTCGACAAATGAATATACATACATACATACATATGCAATTTTGTTAAATTTTATTGAGGTTTTTCTTCGCAATCATAGGTGAACGTCCATTTGGTTGCGATATGTGTGATCGGAGATTCCGTGAGTTCAGTGACCTGAAGAAACATCGCCGCCGACACTCAAACGAAACAAATTTCGTATGTATGGTATGTCGTGTGAAACCTCCCATGATTCAAGATTCAACACGTTGCAATGATTGCGATTCGAAGACGAGTGCAATAACAGCAGCAATGCGACCTCAACTTTCCGCGTCACCTTCTTTACCAGATACACCACAAACACCATCGTTACCAATGCCCACGCTACCACCCCCACCACTCACGGCAAGGCCTTCGCTATCTACTGACAGATTCCATGATACATCAACAATAACAAGTTACACCTTAATTGAAAACTCCGCTGAGACAAGCAACAAGGAAACGCCCAAAACTATAGGAAAAATTACACTAGATCTTGAAGATTCTACCTCTTCCCCGAAGCGCTCAAGTTCTACACCTCTGCCTAGCGYAGATATGCCGTCCTTAGTGCCTATAAATGCCCCGTTTACAGTTAATAAAACAGCTCCAACTAGTACTCAATTGTTGCTTGACAATATCCCTGTGGTTCATCGACCCAACTATAATCAGTTAGGTATTGTAACTCGGAAAGAATTTCCTTGTCCACTGTGTCAGCGTCCATTTGGTACGCGCCACAATCTAAAGCGTCACTTCATGATACATACGGGCGAAAAACCATTTTCTTGCAATAAATGCCGTAAACCGTTTCGAGAATACTCAACCCTAAAGAAACATATGGCGACCCATCAACGCGATCGCTATTATAAATGCCTTCATTGTCCAAGGAAATATCGTGACTACTTGGAGTATAGCGGGCATAAAAAAACTCATACAAACGAGGAAGACGATGAYGATGATGACGACATGAATTTTGATCAGCAACAGTTGAGCTCGTCCAGCACCACGTCCAGTCCACAAAAGAAAGTAAAAATAAGTTGTGACAGTAGTTACGATTCAAACGAAGAAGACTCGTCCAGTGAAGACTGGTTGGAGTGTTGCGAGTGTAAGCAACGTTTCACAGAAATCGAGTTGTACACTAAACATTTGAAAGAGCACGATCCTATGGTGTATCTCTACGAATGCTATATCTGCAAAAAGACTTTTGAGCAGCGTGATGAGCTAATCGAGCATGTGAGCGCTTGCAAGGAAGAGTTGCGCGAAACAGCATTGCAACGTGCTAAATGTTTCAATTAATATTTGTAGTTCTTCCAAAAGTGATTTAACTATGCAATATATGACCTACAAAAATGAATGTTAATACTCCAGGCGAATTAGTCTGTCTCCAATCACCAATTTAGATTTGGAAATATATAAGGTATTTAAGGTATTTAAAGTACTTAAAATTTTCTATAAAATTGTGTTATTACAAATTACTGTTATACCCAGCAATGAAAATACAGTTTAACTGTTAGACTTTTCATAAAGCAGAGATGGTTTATACATGAAAATTTGTCTAATTGTATTCCAGTGACATTCCAATATAGTATTTGATTTTATATTTATATGTATTTGTTTATTTATCTAGTTAGTAGGATTCAAAATACCTTCCCCAACAAATTGAAAAGTAGAGTATGATGAGATTGCATATGATAAGATATAAGAATACCTACATATATAATACAGTAATGAAGCTGAAGTAATGCAGCTAAAGGTATCTAGTTTGACAAACAACTTTGAATCAAAGCTGTTTAATATAATGGAACGATTTTTGTAATTAAAAATATGTATTCGGTTGAAATATTGGTCATTAGTTGTTAGGTTGTTATGTCAAAATTCAACATATAATATCTTAACGATTTGATCCGATTTTAGTGCAATAAGTTCTCAGTGGATGTATTATTAGTTAAASTTTTTACTCCCATGTTCCTTAAACGGACAGACATACAGCTTTCACATTGTACTTTTTTCCCTCAGTCTCGAATGCTCTCATTTTTAAATATAAAAAAAAAAAATGAAAAAGCTTGTGATTCTCGACAAACCYTTTGGTATAAAATTAATGATAAGAATATATTTTTTAGAAATACTATAACTAGACTAGGAAAACTATATATTTATACCGCGTTTATACGTATGTACAACATGATATTGTAAATTCTTTATAAAATAAATTACTCATATTTTATTGAATTTAAAATCGTATTTATTTTGTTTCTTAAAGTTACACGAAGCAAATTAAGTGATATTTTATGTGTGATCCTTTGATCCTTTGCAGACATCGCAACATTTTAACTATAGATCATAAGTAGTTAGTCGTAGATCAGCTAATATATTTTCTAAATTCGCAAGTATAAACACCATTTATGAGTTATAGGAGCTACAAAGTCATTAACAATCACGACGACAATTATAGGATTTAGCTAAATATTCACTCAAGAAATATTATAAATATTTTAAAAACACAAATGTTGTATCTTGCAATTCAGTCCAAGGCTTGCCTTTAGTCAAAAATTATTTAACCCATATGCGATTGACTATTCAATTTGTTTTACAAAACAATCATGTATTGGTAATTAAAGTGTCACGCAATTTAATAAATATATTTCATAAATCAGATATCAAATATACCAAACAAAAAAGAAACAATTTTCTTCATATCAGTAAGTGAAATTCACTTTTTGTTTACATAAATTATTCTAATTTATATACATACATACATTACAGACTTAAATAACAGTAATTACTAAATGAAAATGAAATGAAACGACTGCCAAATACTCAGACTGATTAACAGACAAAACAATTGGAGCAAGTGGACTATGACATGAATTAGAAAAGACAACTAAACTCTACAAAAATGAGTTGATAACAATAAATGATGGCGGGAGAACATATTTATATCAACTTAAAACCAACTTTTTTTTTCTGAATTCCTAGTACTTTAATGCCAACTAACTTTGTAATATCAAGGCAAAAAAAAAAAAAAAAATTTCGAGAAAACAAAAAACAGAACAGAAATCCTCCTCGATCAATTACAACTTAATTTATTGGGAAAACGGACAAGCTCTCGCTTATTTACGAACCACTTGTGCATGATGAAGAGATAAGGTCCGATGCGCTTACTGTTAGCGTAGAGGCGTTAACGTTGGTGCTAGTTGCGTTAATACTTTCGGTTGGTTCGCTACTTATACTGCTAACAATGAATTTCTTATTACCAGTTAAACCCTGTTTGTTGATGTAAAAGCTTTTTTGTACTGCCAGCGGACTTGTGCTAATATCATCAACGTTCAGTCTATTAAGGAAGCTTGCAGCTGCTTTGGAGGCGCTGTCGCAGGAAGATGACTCGATGCTAATGYTGGAGCAACCCCCGATGGACGATGTCTCACTCTTCATGTCATCCAACAAGGTAGCATCATCCTGTATGTCAGTGGTCATTGCTTGAACTTCACTGCCTGTATTTGTATCTACACTGCATCCAGAAGAACCACTGGTTGTTGAAATTCTGTTATTTCTAAGTTTCTCGTTATTATATGYCACTGAAATCCCTTCATCCATTCCYCCATTTCCAATGCACATTGGCTCGCTGCCACCAGATATGGAGGAAGCCGTTGAAGAGCCAGAGGAGCATATCCCAGAGGTAGTTGTTGATTCGATGATCCCGCCACTTACACTGCTGCTAGGTGATGAACAAGCTGAGTTGTTATTTGTATTATTGGTGCATAACTTCGATATGAATAGCTTTGGTGTTATTCGACCATCGTATGTTCCAGAATCCGGGCTGGGGCATATTGAAGATGGTGATTGGCAAACTGGTGAAGAACCTCGACTGAAAAATTTATTGTAATTATATGAATATGAAATGCGTTGAAATATTGCAAAATAAATAAATCTTGCCTCTCCGTAAATATTTTCTTCAGAGGTGGTTGAGAATATACATTCCAATTACTTCCAGTACCACCACCATCATCCAGCTCAAATTTGCGCTTGACGGGTCCTAATTGTGATGGCCGCATAGCGATTGGTGACATTGATCGTCTAGTAGCGAAAGTACGTCTTGTTGGTGAAGGTGACAAACCGTATGGTAGCCTCATCCCGGCACGGTTACTGCAAATATGTTTACATTTATAAAATACTATTACGATTTTTCATATAACAAACATACTTTGTTGGGCTTGGACTCGAACAACTCGTAACTCCAGATGGCAAGGAAACCTGAAGTGGATTACTTAAGTCCTCTGATTTACAGGACCAATTTTCGGCAACCAAAGTCAAGTCCTCCCAACTTTGGGACATTTGCATGGCACTATGTAATTCACGTTCATGATTTGCTTCGCGAGTATTTAACATGTCTACGCATTCTTCTTGTCTTAACTGGGAGACACGTGGAGTGAGACAAAGTGGCAAGCCATTTACTGCAGTCGAGTTGCCTCCAACGTTAGCTGCCCCATGAGGAGTGTAACTGGCCGAGTAACGTCGGGCACGGGGTGCGAATATGTTAAACACTGGCGCCGGTGAAACTTCCCTAAAATTAATTAGATGAAATATATGTTAGTTAAACGTCTCTTTATCATACTTCCAATCAAATAAATACCTGGAGGAAGGATTTGAACGAGGTATACCAATATGTATATTGTGTCCAAAGTTGTTTACAGTTGATACGTCGCCAACCGCCTCCCGTTTGTTAAAAGTTTGATGTTTTATAGGTGTTGATAAAGCCTCTTTTGGGTTATTTACACCTACAGGATTCGATGTATTTCCAACATTTCGCATGGCCATAGCTGCTGCAGCGGCTCGAGTAGTCATTGATGTAAAAGAAGAGCCAGCGGGCAAAATTGGCACGCTCAAACAACGTTTTAGTGTTTTGCTGTTATTTAATTGTATAGTTAAGCCAGAAGTATTTTCAATTTCCACGCTTTGGTCAGAACTTTTACCAATCTTGGTTGTTGATTCTGCGGAGTTTTTAATTAATTCTGAACTTATTGTTTGTGGAGGTCCATCAGCTGTTTCAATTATTTCTCCTACATCCATTGTAGGTGTGCTATTTGTGTTCTTTTTATAGTTTTGATGTATGACACGCTGCTGTCACTTAAATAATGCTCACAGATATTTTCTGCTGAAATATTTAATGAAAAAACCGAATTATTTCTGGGATTATATACGACTACACAAATAATATTGGGCACCTAGATGAGGGTATACACAGGCTACCATTCGGTCGGTTCTCAACCTGCTAAGCTGTTATTTTACACCCGACCCCTCTCATATATTCAAAGTGTTTCGTTGAAGGTAGTGTTGCCACACGTTTTTTTTTTATATTTGTTTCAGGTGATTTTTAACACATATAGCTAATGATGGAAATGCTATTAAGAAAAAAATATTACTGTTCCTTAAGGAAACAAATACGCTGAAAAAATATTCATCGGGTTTATTTATAAAAATAAACTAGTTTTAAAATTGTTTTAAGTTTATTTAAAACTGTACGAATAAGGATTAGAAAACACATTCGGTTCAAACTTTATTTCAAATAAAATATTTTTAGATTTCTTAAATAAAATGTACTACTGAATGGTAGTATGTATTACACCATGATCTTAGTATAAACATATACATATGTACTAGCCGGATAGGGCATTATTCGAATAATAATCCGCATAGTCGCTCTTAGTAAGCGTTCAATTTCTAAAAAAAAAGGTTCTACATGTATAGTTTGTAAAAACTTTGCAGTATATACGTACACAGACATTTTAACAAATATAAAACAAGCAAAAATCAAAGGCTGCTTCAAACAATTTTCATTTACTCAAATACCTACGACTATTCGAATAGTATTAATCGGTTAATATTCTTATGGATGGTTACAAAYTTAACAATCGGTTTTCAGGTTATTCGAATAATTTTAAAGATCCCGGATATATTCGTATATCTAAAGTTGGAGATTTTTAAAAGGAATTCTCCAAATGATGGCAACACTCTTTACATTGACGAATGTCAATTGATTTCGTGTGGCGAGCACCATTTTCAATTATTAATATCTCCACAAATATATGCTTAAACCATTAATTTTTAATGTTTTTAGTAACTCCACAGAATATATTTTAGAATGCTTTAATTTATTTGAAATTCTTTAAACAATTGTAGTAGAAATTTACCTGTATAATGTTATCCTTTCTCCGTCTTTGCTTACGCACACGCACAAAATCTTTCTCGTAAATACGTAAAATATCCGACCACACGAATTTCACTGGTAATTTTCACTGTGTAATCGCATAGTTCTTTTCATAAAAATTATTCAAATCTCTCACACAATATTCAAAAAATGGTTAATAACTAAAATCCGTAGAGAACTTGCACGATTTAATTACTTTTTTCGCCTTTGAAAAATGTGAAAATTTTGTGGCTGCTGACATCTCTGCTGCTTATTGCAGTCACTCATAAACTTCTATAATACAGTGGCTCTCAAAATGTCAATATTTGGTTCCGTTCGAAGCTTGATTAGAATTCAGCAAATTTAAAATGCTTTGTTCGAATATAARTGCGGGTTAAATTGGTGAATGTACAGAAAAATCATTTGGCTAAAAATTTATCTAACCGATACTCTTTGGTAAGCTGTTATTATGACACAAGATATATTATTTTCATTGTTCTATAAAAATTGTATAGCTAAGAAAATACTGAGTACTAGTACCAAAGCTAGTAGTGACCTATAGAATACAACTGCAAATCCATATRTATGCATATATGTGTATGTATGTATACGCATAATTGTAAATACATTTCCAATATTTCAATATTCTGCTTTAGATTGGACAGATCACTAATATTTCAATAAATAGCAATAAAAATTGTTCAGCAGCCGCATACAGATAACGTTCCTAATAAAAAATAAAACGCATTTTTTACTTTTAGCAAAAAATCGCTGCRTTAAGGTGTGGTAGCACACATTTTTAATTTTTTTTGGAATCTATCACGATTTTTGAGTAAAATTAGAACTGATCAATAAAACATTTAATAGAAACATTGCCAGAAATTGTCAATATCGGGGGCYTTAAGTATCGCGTTAGAGTTATGATGCCCTTTTCAACTTATAGAGTAGTAATCACATCAATATGTATGTAGTTGTGGTTAATTTAATAAAAACTTACCATTTAAGAAAGAAAAATGCTTTTATTTATTACACATAGAGGTTTATTAAATTGTTTTGAACATACGAATGCTTACATGCATATATGGTATAGTATATGATTTTTTATTGCAAAACATCGCGCAATACTGAATAATATTTTCGTACAGCAAATTTTTAAGAACATAAACAATTTTACAACCGAATTCACAAAGAAAAGTATGCCGAATTTAATGCTACACGTAAACAGTTTAGTCTGTGTAAAGTATTTTAAAGTAATTAAATTAATAAAAATATAATATTTATTGTAGTATGTACTATATGTATACATGTTTAAAACAGAGAAATAGTAAAGTATATAACARCCGGTAGACCTATTTTAGATGCCTTTAGATTCAATCAAATTATTTTATGCATTTGRCGGTTGTTTGTGAAAACAAGCGTCAGAAACACTTCCATAAATATTTAGATTTATTGCATATTATTCCTAAAAGTGTATATAATTAATAAGTGTTTACATACTAATAGTCTTCGGAGTCAACATAAATAAATTAAATTATTTTAACTATGTATATAAAAAGTAATTTTTTGGTAATAAATTCAGTATCTATGAAATCACAAAACATTGGTTTCTCCAAATCTATAACACAGCCTGCTTAATTAATATACATATATTGATGTATTTTGTTTTAATTCAAATCTTAACTAAAATTTTGAACTCTTGTGTTTCATGCAAAATGTTGGTAAACCACTTCTGCAGCTTTACCCTGCAAAGTGAGTCCCTTCCTAAATCAAATAATAATTGAATAAACCCAGGAAAATTAGAATAATTTTGACTTTCTCGACCATAAATATTAGTATCTATAAAATAATTGCCTAAAATAAAAATGCCACCTATACACGTTTAGCATTCAATTCAAAGATCGGAACACATTCAAACAGTTAATTTAGTTTACATTATAATTAATTTATTTTTGATTTTAGTATTTACATTTCTAAGTTGTTTCTGGATGGTTTCCGGTTTATTTGCGAACACGCGAATTGATAAATTTACCATATTGTAGTTAGTGTATATTATCTTACGTGGTGTTTTATAAAAATCTTATTCTATCGCCATTTTTTGCAGAAAAAAATAAATAAACATGGAAGGTATGTATATTTATAATAAGCTATRTGTTTTATATACCATATATATTGTATGTATGAGCAAATCGTATTGGTAATACAATTACAAATACTTTTACTTAAAAACGAATTATCTTTTTGTGGCAGYTTCTTAACGAAAATCGAAAATACTGAGTTCAATAAATGTTTAAATATATGTGTGTACTTATGTATGCCTAATAAATAAACTTAATTATGAGTATACTTTGGTCACAGCAAAGGACCAGAACTGCATTCTTCTTTGACATTTGTGTTTTTGTTTTCTGACACCACTTGTGTACACAGATGTAGCAAGTGTATGGCCATTCAACCGTCAGAAAGTGCTGGAGTTACCCAGCCATATTTTTCGTGTGTTTTTACCAATGAACGGAATGCTTCCTCCGCAGTTCGTCTGTTAAAATAACAATAATAAAAGTTATTTTGATACATTTTGGTCATATGTGTATTTTGTCATAGACTTAGAAGAAATTAACGAATTTCTGCCGAATTTCTGCCGTTACAACAACAACAACAAGAAATTAACGATTTGAAATGGAGTATTTAATGGAGGAAATTATGTGAGATGTCTGTGCATCTTTACTCACCTACTAAAATCTTTCGAACCCTTTGTTTTTCGTACAATACGTCCCTGTCCCTTAACCAAGCTCGCTGCAAACTGCATTAAGACCGCCTCTACAGTGTACGCTGAGGCCCAACCGCGTGGCGTTAAAAGTTCCATGCAAATAGCTCCACCTTCCATTACGAACCCCTTTTCGATTCTCGGTTCGACTACTCTCATAAAAGGCGGTGCGAATGGGAATTTATCGGGAAATACAAGATGCAGGAGTATAAATGGAATGTTCATCTCAGCCATGTCTTTCGCTAATTTCGAATCTGGATCGACAATATGAAGTCGTGCGTACCACTCATACAGATTGTCGTTTATAAGTTCCACCTGTGGCAAAAACATTCATCGCATATCATAATATTAATAACTCAAAATTATCCATATAATTGTTTGTTTACCGTGAATATTGGGTCGTTTTTACTATTGTGCACTTTTTGTATTTCCTTATATTCTTTCATTAGGCGCCGTGCCCGAATACTGTGATCGGGAACATGTTGAACATTGACTGACATAACCATTCTACTTGTAGCTGGTGAAACTCTGAAAAAAGCAAATTTCACTTTAAATAATTTACAAAAAAAATTATTTATCGTTATGTACCTGTTATCCTGTCGACGTAGACGTCTACCCGGCGATTCAGCTACGACACCGGCGCCTAGGGCATTACCGTTTGAATTCTTCGCCGCCACATTGCCGCCGACATTTCCTCCAGAGCTATTCCCACTTGCGCTAACCGCAGCGTCAGCCGTTTTATCACCACTGCCACTGCGACTTCTACTCTTGTTGAATTTTCGTATAGCCGCKGTCACTTTCTCCTTAAGACGGGACGACATTTTTCAATTTTGCACTCCGCTATTTTTATTGTTACTGTTATTTAACTTAAGTCTTTTGTTCTTCGGAGTAGGTGTTGGAACCGCCCACAATTGATACTCTAGATTTTCGGTGGTTTTCTAGCAGTTTTCGATTGGTTGCTCAGTTCCACATTCTCATTTGAGCACTTCTGTTTCTTCAATCTTTCAGTCTTGTACCTATAACACTTTTCATTATGAGAAATTCAAATTGTKCCACAATGCACCTGGGATAGAAAGAAAATTTAAAATCAAAACATTATATTAGAGGTAAAAGTTTAGTAAAAGGTAATTTAGTAAGATGAAGCTAATTTTATTTTTACCATGAAAAATTATAATTCAATTCTACAATTTGACGTCTCCAGAAATTTTTTTTTTTTTTTTTTTTGTGAAAAGAGAGAAAAAAGTAAAATATATAAGAAAAACTAAATTAATTGTCATTAATACTGCATAAAACCATTTTCGGTTTAGGTATATACTCAGATTAAGCTTCAGACGTGAAAATTATAATAAATTATTGTTGGTTCGTTGATAGATCAGGGAGATAATTAAGTATGTTTGATGAGTGTGATCGCATTCCCAAAATAGTCGATAAAACTCAAACAAAAGAATAACAAGCAAATGCACTCACATATGCAAAACAATATTTATAAAAATGCGAAATTAAACGTTTTGTAATTAAAACTAGCATAAGTTTATATAATAATCGAGATGG